TATCATCTTCGAGCGCACCTACAAACACTGCTGCATCAGAACGATCCTCGCTCTAAAACACTGCTCAAGCAAATTAGGCGTGAGGAATATCAAATGTCTGTGTAAAGAAGTCGCTGACTGTTTCTACAGCAGTATTCAATGAAAAGTAGGTATATGAATTCTTTGCTATGAAATACATATAATAAGATTATATAAAACGATAAACAGTAGTTTTTAGCGCAAATTGTACTTGCATTATGTCCTTTGTATTTGAATATTGATTGAATGTGCGCTCACATTTAAAGTTGCTTTGGAATACAAGGAAGCTTGTAAAAATCCTTTTTATATCAAATATGCTTTTTCTACGCATTTTTCTGTGAAACAGCCAGAAAGTCCTTCCGTCACTGCTGACAGTTGTATAACCCCGCGTTTGCACAAGGCAAGACCAATGAGGATATGCACGTTATATCGTTTGAGTAAAGTAGGCATCCAGACAATAAACTGTCTTCGAAATGCCAGAGACAGTGATGAAAACATCAAGAGAATTGGAAATATCTTTGTAAATCAAATGTGAATGTTTTGCTATTGTATCTGAAAAATTGATTTGTGTAAACCATATATGTAATACTCCTATATTGGCAGTAAGAGCTAGTACCGTCCGAAAACACTACAGTACAGATATGTCAATAAACACGACAGAAAAGAAACACATACGTTTATAAATAAACATGTCCACAATACATTGACAAAAACGGCACTCAAGTACACAATACATTGACAAAAACGTTACTAGACTGTCTCGCTTTGATTTCAGAATGCTTACACATTGAGATGTTAGCTTACTACCAATATAGAAGTATTACATATATGGTGTAAACCCCAACTACGCGGCCATAAGGAACAGCTGATTTTTTGTTTGCAGACGCAACACGATTGTGGCGTATCTCTACGGTACGTACGCCACTTCGCTTACTGCCATCCCTAAATTGGCGCGTCAAGCGCCAAACAACTGTCAAAAATCCTCATGCCCATACAATTTGTATGAAGCATCCCACAATAACGCGGCGCTAACGCCGAGCAAATGGAATTTTCATTTTTGACAGGGCGTTAAGTGTTGAAGTTGGATGCGGAAGACGGAAAGAAAGAGAAAGGACAAAAAAGTGAAAGAGGAAACGAGAATAAAAACGAGAGGATCTGAGAAAACGTCAAAAATTACGACGCGTTGATTTGGGGATAGCGCGCGCTGACACTCGTCGACAATGGATAACGCAACGCTTAGCGCTCCAATTTAGGGACGGCAGTTACTTTTCCGTTATTGATGAACAAGTACCCATTCTGACCGGCCTATCAAAGTGTTCATTGGGCCATATGAATAAAAAAAAGCAATTGCTTTTTCTTAAATATCAGACATTTTACTCGATTTATTCAAACAAAATTGAAGTAAACGGTATGAAAGTTTAAGATAAAGCAATTGCTTAGTTTTTGTTCATACGGCCCATTGTCATATTACATCCGATAGCAAATTTTGTAAAATACAAAAATGGAAAATAGCACTAAAGGTTCAGAAATGTAGGTATTGGTTTATTTTATTAGCTATATGAGATAGATACACATATGCTACGTTTATACGTAAGCTATTTGCAAATACCTAACTCACCGTTTATTCGATGGTGAAAAATTATTTTTTAATATTGCCTGATTATAAAAAGGCAATAATATGACCATCGAAAAAGAAAAAAAGTTAAAAACGGCCGCGTCTTGATTATAAAAAAAACAATAAGATGGCCATCGAAAAAGAAAATTAACCTAAGTATGGCGGCATCTTGCGCCTATTTGCAAATAGTACCACTAATCAATACTTATTTGCGTGATTTAGTTATTTGCAAATAAAAAATTAACTCTTCGTTTATACGGCAAATTTTCCATTTTGCAAATTGTTATTCGCAAATAATACGTGCGTATAAACGTAGTAATAAAATCATTGTGTAGAACTGATTTCTTAATTCCGGGCACGAAAAGTGGTTTTTTGCGTTCCGCACGCTCTAGGCACTTTTGGCACGGGTTGACACAATTTTGGCACTTGTGAAAGAGTAAACTTATTTTTACGCTCTAATTACCGAAACAGCCCGGAAAGCGCGGAAACCTATTGTCCAAATATTCGATACTGGAAAAGTATTGCATATTTCTTAAAATTTTAATCTAACCAGTATTCATCGGATATGGACATCAGGGGCACCCTTTCTGTGATGTGTACCCTGTTAACCTGATTCTATTATTCGGCACAGCGATATTTGGATCGTGCCGTGTGTCAATTTTTTGTAATCCATCAATATGGATCACGATCCAAATATCGCGATGTTGTTGTAACAGCATACAAATTTTCCAAAGAGTTTTTGGGGAGTGTTGCTGGAGCGACAGTCCTTGGCCTTATATAAAGCTGGGTCGTTCCGGTAACGTAGACCCGTCTGTCGTGAGAACGCAAACATCGCGATCCGTATTGATGGTGTGACAGGCCCATAAAAATATCGATGTATTTCTCCATTATTTTCTGCAAAAATATCGATATTTTTTCACCCAAACCTCGTTGATTCATCCCTACTTGACCGATATCTTTGTTATTTCCTTTATAAATTTTAGCGAATTTTCGTAACAAAACTACAGAATATTAGATATAATTAAGTTTTTATATGGTGAAAACTCATTATGAAATAATGAAAGGTGTTATTGCATCATGGTGAAAACTAAGCTGGAATTGGATGCACCGACTATTGTGTGCCGCATTTGTCTTCAAAGCGGAGAAACGGGAGAAGAAATGGCATCTATCTTCGACAAGGATGCGGACTCGGTATACCTATACAAGAAAATTGAGCGTTGTGGAGGCATAAAGGCAATTACAACATATAAAATATTATACAAGGCCAATAAATAAAGACTAAATTTAATAAAATAACGAGATAAGTTTAGTGCAAAATATAAATATTTTTTTCATATGGAGATAAACCATAATTTATTTTAGTTTTTTTTTTTTGTTAGAGTGTAATAAATGGCCGAACAAACCATAATTTATTAAGATGCATTCTAAAACACGAAATTACCTTACAGATCCTTACCGAGCCGAAACTTCCTGCAAACATATGCAAGAAGTGCAACGCTTTTCTTATAATTGCTCATAAATTTCGAATTATATGCAAAAATTCCGACAATTATTTACGAAAATTTGTCTGCAAATCCTCTAAACCCAACAAAAATGAAGAAAACCAGCCGGAATACATCCAGGAATACAGTAAAAAAAAACCTGTAAAAACAGAAGTACTAAATGCTAAAGCACCCACCGTTAATGAATCGCAACATGATATTAACTATGAAGAGGTAGTCATTTACTCAGAAGAGTTCATGCTTGATGAAGGAGTGGATGACGATTTAATTATCGAAGATTATGGCGATAGTTCACAAGAATCTCAGGATCAACTCCAACCGATGTCCACTTTCGGAACACCAGAAAAAGGAAATTGCGAAAAAATAACTGAACAAAATAAAATTAAGAAAGAGAAACAGATTCATATTTGTGAAATCTGCGGCAATATATATCCCCGAAACTATGAGCTTCAGGTGCATATGAGGCGTCATCGAAATGAGCGCATCTACGAATGCGAGTAAGTCAAGTTGAGAACTCAGCTGTATAGGTACGTTGATTTAGAGAAATCCTATTCAAGTTTTACCAACTTATAGAATTTGTGGTAATTCGTTTCATCTTAATTCTGAATTGACTCGACACATACGCACACATACTGGAGAGCGACCGTACGCGTGCCGATATTGCGAACGTACATTCTCTTCTCGCTCCTCTAGGATTGATCATGAGAGGTAAAATTCATTTGAAAACTAGAGGAATCTTAATTGCATTTTAATTTAGGGTGCACCGAAATGAACGGCCTTACAATTGCGATATCTGTGGCAAAAATTTCTCCTATTCAAGTGTTTTAAAATCGCATAAGCTAACACACACTGGCGAAAAACTATTTAGGTATGTATCTTATATAGTTTTGAGTAGGTATTTAATTAAAATTTGTAAATAGCTGCGGCATTTGTGGTAAACGCTTTACACGAGGTCACCATCTGCGGGCGCACTTGGAGACACTGCAGCATCAAAATGATCCCCGTTCCAAAGAGCTTATTAAGCAAATTAAGCGCCAAGAACTTAGCAATGTATGAAAATGTTCCACTATTTCTTCTGGTATATTTGGTATACATTTGATAAACATATGTACATATATGTTTTTTCTAATTTTAAATATTGATTGCCCGTAAAATATTAAATTAATACATTCTAAGTTTAAAAGCAGTAATATAAATAAGTTAAGGAAGCATCCCTCTAACTTACCCTCAATAAACAATAAAAAAATGTAGATTTATTATTGGCTGCATTTTTAATTTATTTTAATTGAACGTATATAGGGTCCTCACAAATTATTTAACTGTTTTTTCTCAGATTTACGGATATTTTGTTTTTGTGAATTCAACCAATAAAAATAACACTATTTGTAAATAAAACTGACAACTATCAAAGACACGAGATCGGTGTGAAGACATAGTGTAAGAAGTTTGGTTTTCTTAAATTTTTCCCTCTGAGCTCCTCCGTCGGGGAAAATTCCACAACAAATGAGACGATTTTTTACCAGAGATCGGGAAAATAACCATCGACTTTTTATGGCGTTTATCACTGACACAAACACAAACCTCTCAAGCAAAATGTGTTTCTCACCGTGGCAAATCTCTGTGTTTTCTACTGTGGGTTATTTATAATTTAGAAATAACATACATACCGATTTCTAAGTCTTTATTATTTCATTTTAGTTAGTTTTTTATAAAAATATAGT